AGAGAGAGAGAGAGAGAGAGAGAGAGAGAGAGAGAGAGAGAGAGAGAAAGAAAGAAAGAAAGAAAGAAAGAAAGAAAGAAAGAAAGAAAGAAAGAAAGAAAAAACACAGATTTCATAAAAGATGGTTATGTTTGTCCCAAACACTGCCTTTCTACCGTTTCCTCAATCTCTAACAAACCATGGTTAATTCCAGCCTGTTTATGAGACCAGCCCTTGGGATCAGTTTACTGTATGTCCCGTGCAAATCCAGTATACGGATATGGACATGTTAAGATTAACATGTTAAACAGGTTAAGATGCTTCACTGATGGAGGTCTTCAAGAAAAGATTGGGCAGTCATTTGTCTGGGATGCAGTAAGATCTCCTGCCTTGGGCAGGGGGGTTGGACTAGAAGACCTCCAAGGTCCCTTCCAGCCCTAGGATTCTAAGTTAAGCATGAGGAAGGATGTCACTTGAACCCATGGATTCACACAACAAAACTCATGGGTAGTTTGCAGTTCAGTCGCTGTTTAGTTTGGTTAGCCCATAAAACCATGATATGTTTGTTACCAACTTGCCTTAGTTTCTCCTTATTTCCAGGCTGAATCTCTCCTTGATCAGTTTCCATCCATTATTCCTTGTCTGGCCTTCAGGGGCTTTGGAAAATAGCTTGACCCCTTCCTCCTCTCTGCGGCAGCCCCTCAAATATTGGAAGACCGCTATCCTGTCTCCCCTGGTCCTTCTCTTTACTAGACTAGCCAAGCCCAGTTCCTGCAATCGTTCATTGTATGTTTCAGCCTCCAGCCCCCTAATCATCCTGGTTGCTCTTCTCTGTACTTCTTCTAGAGTCTCAACATCTTTTTTTATAATGTGGTGACCAAAACTGGATGCAGTACTCTAGGTGTGGTCTTACTAAGGCTTTATAGAGTGGTATTAGCAGTGATTGACCCACCATCGAAGGGGGAAAGTCCTATTTCTAACTTTACACAATCCAACAGGTCATGGCAAGCTCAACAATTCCACGGTCAGGCTTACCTAAGGCTGAAATGTGGTTTGTGTGTGTTTGTGGCTGGGTGTCAAGGACGTGTACACAATGCCCTCCTCTGAGAACCCAGGTTAATCACATACTAGGGTTGTTCGGTTCATTTAATCGGGGAGAAGCAACCCCTCAACCAATATTTTGTGGTTGAACAGAAAGGCCTGGAGTTCAACCAGAAATCACCCAATCTCATTTTAGCCTCATTCACAGTATTCCTGTACAAATCCGGGTATGTGCATTTGGTTGAGCCCTGAGTAACGGTTGGGTAAATACAGGTATATAAGGGGACATTTGGGCCTATTTATGTAACTACCGTCACCTTAAATAGTCTGGTGTCCCATTCTTCCCCCGCATGAAATGATTACATCTCCCATAATTCTCAACCAGCTCGGACCTCGACACACCTGAGAATACCTGGAGCAAAGACCCTACGGGCCTATGACTACTCCCAAGTGTTATTTCCTTCTTCCTCTTCTTCCCTGCACGTCACATTCAACCAATCCTGGTTTGCCGGCCTCCAAACCTTGTTTCTAAAGCTCTGCTTAGACCAGGGCATCCCACACTCTCCCCCCCTCCCCCGCCCCTCCCAAAATCAAGGTTTCCAAGGTGCCGACCCAGCTTTTCTCAGCCACGATGCTCCAGACAGTCTGACACCCCCTCCTTCCTCAGCTGTGAAACATGGCTACGAATTCTGGGAGCTGTAGTCCCAATTCCCCCCTCCCCTCCCCAAGCAGGCAGGGTTGCTCTAAAGCCGATAAGAAAAAAAAAAACGGTGCGTGTGATGGAATCTGACCCAGGTAGAGAGGCAGGGCAAGGGGCGCCACTCAACCTCTGGAGAGATGCTCTCTGCACATGGTCAGAGGGCGAGATTGCCCCTCGGGCATCTCCAGCGGGGGGCCTGATTCTACCAAAACCAGCCGAATCCTGAGTCACCGCCCGGGGCCTTCCAGCCTCGCCCTGCTGCTACCAAAACGGCCCCCTCTCCCAATCTCTCTCTCTCTCTCTGTCTCTCCCTCCCTCCCTCTCTCTCTCTCTCTCTCTCTCTCACCTCCAGCTTGTCGGTCAACTCCTTGTACATCCGCTCGTACTGGCGGCTCATGTCCTGGTTGCGCTCCAGCAAGGCTTTGCCCAACCGGGCGGCCAACACCAAGTCCTTCTCCTTCTGCCTCATCTGCGACAGCAGCAGCTCCGGCTCGGCCGGGGAGGAGAGGGAGGCCGCGGGGCCTCCCGGCGGCTCGCTCTCGCCGGGCCCTTCCCCGGCCGAAGCCAGCATGGCCAGCTCCTCCTCCAGGGCCAGATCCAGCTCGCCGCCCACGGCCGAAGCAGAAGAAGACGCAGCAGGAGAAGGAGCCGCAGCCGCGAAGCCGGCGGGGCTCGGAGAGGAAGAAGAAGCCGACGCCGTTTCTTTCCCCGCCGTTGGAGGCGGCGGGGCTGCGCCGGCCTTTCCCGCCGGGCCGGACTCCATGCGGCAGGCGCTGTCCAGCTCGGGAGGTGCTGAAAGGGCGGAGGCGGCCATGGCCGGGCCCCGGGCCACTCCAGGCTCAGCGGCGGCCGAGGAGGGAGCCCGGAGCCCGCAACGGGACGCCCTCGGGGGACCGCTCTCCTCGTCCGCCCGGGAGACGCGGGTGGCGAGCGGGAAGCGCGCAAAAGGGGCAAAGCGGGGGGGCTTCCCCGCACAACGCCCCCCCCACCCGCTCCCGCTTACTCCGCCCGCTGGGGGAGCCGCCTCCGCAACCCGGCGCTCTCAAGGCGAGCCGGGCGCCCGGCCGGCGTTGGAGCCGTCGTGTGGGGCGTTGCTGCGGCCAGGAGAGGAGAGGATGGCGCCGCTGGTGGTCCTGCTCCTGCCGGCGGCCCCGCTTGGCAGCCCCGCGCGCCGAACCCCATCGCCGCCCCGGCGCCGGCCAAACATCGCGCGGCCGCGGGAAGCTCGCGAAGCCACCGGTGGCGGCGGCGGCGGCGGTGGCGGCGGAGGGGAGGCCGGCTTCCCTCGCCTCCCCCCTCCCCTCCAGCCCGTGACGCCAGCAAACACCTGTTCGGGCGAGGGCTCGGATTGGTCGAGGCGGGTGTCTCCACGGCCCCGCCCACAGGTGTTGCGACTCAGCCCAACCGGGCTTCACCTACCCCGCCCGTTCCTGGTTGGCACCAGAATGTTCGCCTCGCCTGTTGGGTGCGGAGGGCTTTGGCCGGTCCCGGCTGTTCTTTGGGGCGAGAGAAAAACGGGGTCATGAAAGGACAAGAAAGACTAGCATTTCTCAAGGTTGACAACTTTAAGAGGGGTGGGCTTCGACTCCCAGATTTCCTCAGTCAACATGCTTTAAGATATGTAGACTTCAACTCCCAGAATTCTTCAGTCCG